GCGTAGAGTTCTCTTTCGTACGTGGAGGTAGCGACTTTCTCACAAGGCATCCTCGCGGACATGAACTCTACGGGTCTACAGCCATTGCCGTCATCTTGTTGCAACGTTGCGCCTATCCCATACTGACTCGCGTCCGTGGTGACGACAAATGGCAAGGACGGATCTGCAACCTTGAGGACAGGATACTCTATTAACGCGCTCTTTAACTTTTTGAGCACAGACGTACAGTCTTTATCCCATTGCCAGATTGTCTCTTTCTTCAACAACCTGCRCAAGGGAGCGGCGATAGTGGAGAAGTTCCTCACGAACTTCTTGTAGTAGTTAGCTAAGCCTAGGAACGACCGCAACTCTGTCAACGTGCGGGGCGTCGGCCAATCTCTAATCGCCGCTATCTTGCTGTCCTCTGGCTTAAAGCAATCTCTGTCCAACACGTGACCCAAGTACAAGACTTGCGTCTTGGCCCACTCGCACTTCTTCGCATTGATCTTGAAGTTAGCCTCTCTGAGCTTCTCCAAGACCTGCCTCAGATGACCTTGGTGCTCCTGGAGGGTCTTACTAAAGACTAGGATATCATCTAAGTAGACTACCACAAATTTATCTAACCACGGTCTAAACAGGTCATTCATACAACGCTGAAAAGTAGTTGGCGCGTTGGTTAGTCCAAAGGGCATCACTATGAACTCATATGCCCGTATCTAGTCCGGAACGCAGTCTTGTACTGGTCATCAGGATGGACTTCTATCTGATGGTATCCGGACTTTAAGTCTATCTTCGAGAACCTGATCTAGAAGATCTTCTATCCTGGGCGGCGGCTCAACATTCTTCACTGTGATCGCGTTTAAACCCCTATAGTCTGTACACATACGAAGTTCTCCCTCCTTCTTTGGGACAAACAAAAATGGTGCTCCAAAAGGAGACGAACTGGGCCTGATTTAACCCTTCTCAAGGAGTTCGTCTAACTATTTGCGAAGCTCCTCTAACTCTCTAGGGGACATCCTGTAGACTGCACCCTTAGGAGTTCTACTGCCAGGCTCTATCTCTATCCTGTGCTGGATGGGTCGCGACACTACTCCTGTCGGCGACTCAGTCAAATCCTTGAACTCTTCCAGCAGCTTGGCAATTGTTGGATATGTGGAACTATCCTTTTCCTGGCCCTTAGTGACAGGTCTAACATACACTACAAAGACCTG